CAGACCCAGGGGCCCCGCTCCCCGTGACCCGCACCGCGCCCCCCCTCCCCGCGCTGGAACTCCATCACCTTCCTAGTGCACCCTAAGTTCCCCCTCCGGCCCCCGCCCCAGCCCCCTGTCACTGCCCTGGCGGCTTGAGTTATTGCAGTGACCTAATTGTTTCCTCCTTGGGCCAAGATGGTCGTGCAGTTTCCCTTCCTCTGTTACTTCGGAGCACTCAGGTGTGAGTGTGTTTAATAAAAGGATGGCTTGTGTGGATGTTACACTCCACACAGATAAAAGCCCAACAGTACCTTCAGCGCACCCTTTTGAGAATTTCAGCTCGTAGATGAGATGACATAACACATTTATTCACAAGCTAAAGATTGAGAAATGCCATCTGGCTTTGCTGGGTCCAAATAGGCTAGTGTTCCTGGAACAGAACTTGGGCAAGAACTTGAAAATCGATTGTACCGAAGAACAGAAAAATCCAGAACCAAGCCGGGCGCCCGTGGCTCACTCCTGTCATCCTAGCTACTCAGGAGGCTAAGATCTGAGGATCACGGTTCAAAGCCAGCCCGGGCAGGAAAGTCCATGAAACTCTTATCTCCAATCAACGACCAGAAAAAAAAAAACGGAAGTGGCGCCGTAGCTGAAGTGGTAGAGGCTAGCTAGCCTTGAGCTGAAGAGCTGAGGAACAGCGCCAGACCCAGAGTTCAAGCAGCACGACCAACAAAAAAAATAATCTAGAACCATCTTTCCAAGGGAGAGAAAGGAGTCACGTGGGAACTTAAGCTCTGTTCTCTACTGTTTGCTTTTTTGTGTTTTAGACAAGTTCTGGAAGAGGCCAATTGAGATGAAACCAATGACCCTCCCAGTGGTGCTTATTTTGATGGTGCCTCAGTGTTAAAGCACTAGTCACCCTTGCAAGTACCGCAGCCGTCAGCTTCTGCCTTCTACAAGTTAACAGATCACAGTCTTTAAAACAGAGACAAAGAAAAGCACCCCTGAACCAGGCACAGATGGCCGATACCTATAATCCTAGCTACTAAGATCTGAGGATCAGGGCGCAAAGTCAGTCCAGGCAGGAAAGTCTGTGAGAGTCTTAATTCCAGTTAACTGCCCAAAGGCCAGTAGAGCTGCAACTCAAGTGGTAGAGAACCAGCCTTCAGGGGAAAAAAAGCTAAGGGACAGCACCTGGGCCATGAGTTCCCCAGTTCAGGCACAAAAATAAAGGGAAAGTGTTTGGGGTTTTTTTTCCCCCTATTAACTAAAATTTCAGTCCACAAAGTAACAGAAGGGCTTGCTGCAACTTTCTGAGGTCAGTAGAGGTCAAAGATCATAAACCTCCACTCAAGTTTGAGCTCCCACTTCCTCCCCCTTGTGCTGTCAATTTGCAGGGTAGTGATAACATGCCAGGTTGGAAATCCAGATGTCCAGCCTGCAAGCCCCACCTCATCTGTAGCCATCTTCCTCCCACCCAAGGCCTCTCTCCCCACGCCCTGAATCCCATCTCTTCCTGCTGTTCAGAACCCAACACCGTCACTGCTCCGTTCACTGCTCCATCTCAACCAGTGGTGGATTTTAAAGGTGTTCCTATCTCCCATCACGAGAAAAAAATCTTGACCTCACATTTCCCTTCAGTTTTAGGTTACTGTTCAATCCCTCCTCCCTTTGGACAGGCCACTTTTGGAAAATTACCATATTGGATGCATCTAACCGCCTACCCATCATTCCTCTACCCGCTGCAGCCTGGCTTCCATCCTCACCTCTGCCGGAGCAGAAACCTCCCATGAGATCTTCCCATGCCTCACCTGGCTTAGTCCGAGCCTTGTGTAAGCCTGCTGTCTCATCTCAGCCTGACAGCACTCCTCTCTGGGCTTCTGCTCCTCCTGTTACTGTACTTAGCTGCTGTCTGTCTGTCCCCCACATGCTTCCTAGACTCCACACTCTTGAGTTAGAAGCACGTAGATCCCAACCTAGTCTGAATGGCATCAGCTCAACATGGACAGGACCAGTGCCTAACCTGCCAGTCCCCAACAAGGGAGCTCTTCTACTCTAAGCTGGTGTTCCTCCTAGACCTTTACCCACACCCAGCCTTCACTTAGCCCTTGTCCTGTATTCTGGGCATCTTTCACATGTTTCCATGTCATAAACATCAGTCCTTTCTGTAGCTATTATCATCACCTTATAAAAAGAAGACATCTTGGCTCACAGTTGTGGAGGTTTCATCCCAGAATCAGTAGGCCTCCTTGCTTTGGGCCTGTTCAGATAAGGCAGCGCATTCTGGCAAGGGGTGGATGGAAGAATTAAACCACTCACCCCATGGCCAAGAACCAGAAGAGAAAATGAAAGACCAGAGTCCTCGGTCTCCTCCCAGGGACCTCAGTGTCCTGTGTCCTCACAGACTTGCTTCTCTTTCCTTTAAAACAGCAGTCTTAGTGATTAGTAAATTCCCCCTAAACATTCCTGTTTGTGTTCATTATTTACCTACACTGCACACAGTTGCTAGCACATGGTAAAACCTAAGTATTCACTGAAAGTGAATGAAATGCATATCTAGTGTGTAACTGGTATTAATCCCATTAGGGTGTGTTGGGGAAATACTGAGCTAGACATATGTAAGTGATATTATTGAATGTCATTGAAACACAAAAAAACTAGTAAAAATGAGATAAACATTGAAATTTAAAAGTATTGTGTGGAGCTGAGTGTAGAGTCTCATACCTATAATCTCAGCTAAATGGAAGGTCAAGGCGGGGGAGAGAGGGGGAGAAACTATCTGAAAAGGAATTAAAGCAAGAGTAGGGGGCATGGCTCAAATGTAGAGCACTTGCTTTGCAAGTACAAGGCTTTGAGTTCAAAACCCCAGTGCTTCCAAACACAAGTGTTGCATGGGTGCTAAAACTAAGCACATCTATCATGATAGGTGGCCCTTCCTAGAGCCGACCCACATTCAGTGTCCCTTTGGCACTGCAGTTATTGTATTGGTCCATGGCCAGTACAGCTTCCTACCAATGTCAGCCTAGTAATGCATTCAACTCTTTATCAAAAATAAATTGTATAAGTAATCAAAATCCACATGACACGTTTTCATGTCATCAAGTAGAACCTAATATTTCTGGTGTATGTGTGTGTAGATTTCACTTGTGAGTTATAGTACTAGACTGTATCTTAGAAATCATTGAGGAGGAGGCTGGGAAGGTGGCTCAGTGGTAGAGCGCTTGCCTTGCATGCCTGAGGCCCTGGGTTTGATTCCCCAGCACCATATAAGCAAAAACCAAAAAAAGCTGGAAGTGGTGCTGTGGCTCAAGTGGTAGAGCGCTAGCCTTGAGCTGAAGAGCTGAGGGACAGCACCCAGGCCCAGAGTTCAGGCCCCACAACTGGACCCAAAAAAAAAAAATCATTGAGGACGGCTGGGAAGGTGGCTCAGTGGTAGAGTGCTTGCCTTGCATGCATGAAGCCCTAGGTTCTATTCCTCAGCACTGACCAACAAAAAAAAAAAAATCATTGAGGAATCAACTAAATATTTGCTTTTGTCAGTTGACACTATACAGCTTTTTTTTTTTTTTTGTCAACTTGAACCCTGGGCCTGGGTGCTGTCCATTAGCTCTTCAGCTCAAGGTGAGCACTCTATCACTTGAGCCACAGTACCACTTCTGGTTTCTGGTGGTAAATTGGAGATGAGTCTCATGGACTTTCTGCTTGGGTGGCTTTGAAGCAAAATCCTCAGATCTCAGCCTTCTGAGCAGCTAGGATTACAGGCGTGAGCCACCAGCGCCTGGCCACCTTGCTTTTTGACATCTTGCCTTACAAGCCTTCTTCCCAAATGAATGTTAATTCTTAACTTCCCTTTGTCCATGTTATAGAGTAGCCAAAAATTGGGACATAAAATCTTAAATGAAAATAGTGTTTGAAGGCCAAGGGCAGAGTTGGAGTGGTAAAGCACTGTGGTAAAGCAGGAGTTCTTGAGTTCCAACCCCAGTGACCTCCAAAAAGAAAAAGATGTTTTCAAGTTTTAAATAGCATTCTTGACAGCCCTAAGATAGCGTATTGTCTGTCTTACACAATGGCACATTTATAAGCTAGGGGAAGATCTCTGCTCAGTTCATCCTCTGCTTAGCTTTGTGTCAGTCTGCGTGAGAATTCAGGTTTATCATTATGCAGGACCGAACTTGGGCTGCTGTGTGGTACTTCCTCCCAGCAGGCTCAGCCTGAGCTTCTGGTGGAGGGTCAAGGAAATGGTGCTCTGCCCTTTTCAGTGCCCGTGGTTGCACTTGAGCTCACTGGTCTCCCACCTGCAGACTTGATCCTTGGTTACCTGTCCCAGCAGGGATCTACCAGCTTTCTCCACTGAGTCACCTCTTTCCCTTTGTATTTGATTAGCATTTGTACTTTGCCTGGTCCAGGCTGAGAGTCATCCATTTCTCCCAGAAGCTCTGGTTCTTTGTCATGTAGAATGGCATTTGTGAAGGACAGGGCTTGGTCACTGGCCATTACTAACTGGCCATTACATTATAGTGCAGAATTTAAAAGGAAAATATACATGGACATAGTTGCATATAGATAGATATATTTTTGTCAGTACATGTAGCTATATGTAATTATATGTGTGTGTGTTTGTGTGTATATATGTATCATTGTGTGAGAATACAATTTTAACCCAATATTTCCCATTTTAATACAACCCCTCATCATATGACTATTTGTAACTTTGTACCATATCTCAGTAGTTGACAGAGATAGTCTGATAAACACTGCCTCAAACACCAAAAAACAAAATAAAGAAGTAGGATTTTGTGACAGCACCCAAGAATATGGTGGGTGGCTCATGAGATTCCAGTAGGTAATGCTAAACCAGAAGTAATGTTTCTGAAATAAATTTTAGTACCCACCAGAAGCACCAAGGTCTTCCTTTTGTTATTTTTGTGGTTGATAGGCAAGTGACATGCAATCCAAATAACTTGAATTCTTTTTATTCAACTTTTCATGGAAAGAAAGGGTATACAGATGGATTACAGGATCTTCTGGAAAGCTGTGCTCTATGTGACTCCTGCCAGTTCTCCATTGGCATAATCAATAGTCACAATCAAGAGTTTCCCAATAAATTGCCAATAGCTGATTTGCTTGAATGGAGGAAAAGCCTTAGTATGTGAAGCCTATGGTGATCTCTATATAGCAATGAATAGAGAGAGAGATGAATACTGCCTCAAAGCTTTTGTTCTTCAGTGTTTCTTTGTGAGATAGTAACACTTTCCTCTTGTGATATCATTTTAGGTTTTTTGAAATACATTTTCTAAAAAAAGACCCAAAGCATGTCAAAAAACTACTACCATGGAAATTTCATAAATACTACCGTGTGAAAGAACCCTTCTGCTCAGAAAATACAGTGTATCTTCAGACATCTTAGGGAAGTTCCAGAAAGAACAGCAGGTATGCAGAAACCCATTGTTAAATGTGCCTGTTTTGTCTGCCTTACTGCAAAAGCAGTATTGAAGACAGCGTGTTATTCAAAATGATCCACATGTATACTTTGACCTAGAACATTCTTATTTCTTACATGATAGTCAGGTGAACACAGAGTAGAAGTTTCCTCTTCTGAGAAGCAGCCACCCCCCCCCG